CCCCGCCCGCGGCCGTAGCCGGGTCGGGCCAGCTCCGGGTTAGGCCCTGCCGAAAACACCCCGGTCGCGTGTTGGTACATTAAGGTCCTGGTGTTGCCGTCTCGGCTCTGTAGAAATCGCTTATTGTGCCGTGAGCCGTCCAGACGCGGTTTGGGACATGGAGCCTGTTCTGGTGCCGTTTGAGTGAACTGGGAGAAGCTCCGTCAGGCTCCCCGAGAGCCGAGTTCAGCCTCTCCCGCGTCCTCTGCGGGTCAGCTCGGGAGTCCGTGAAACGCGGGCCCGTGGCTTTAGAATCTCCTGTAATGCCTCGCGACTAAACAATTACCATCAAATGGTGTTGCTGACAGATTAGGGTGGTATGTTGTGTTGTACCCTGCTGTGGTCTTGGAGCAGAGGTGTCCGGCTCAATGTGTCAGTGCTGTCAAGGTAAGGGTTTGGCATTGGGATGCTGTGGATAGCTGGTGTGTTAATTGGATGTTTCTAGGGCCTCTGCCCAGCTAAATGTGCGTGTTGCTAATGTCCTGGAAGGAGACATTTTAAGAAATCAAGTGTATAAAAGCAGACTATGTTGTAGACTATTTTTCAGAAGCTTTGTAGGAGTGATCTTGTAGTGAGATTAAGGTTTATGTAAGAAATAAAGTTCTCATTTTGAGCTCTCCACCTTGCAGGCTGCAGAAGATGTCAATGTTACTTTTGAAGATCAGCAGAAAATTAACAAGTTTGCAAGAAACACTAGCAGGATCACAGAGCTGAAAGAAGAAATAGAAGTGAAAAAGGTATATTTGCTTCAAATATCACTTCCTTGCCCTAATTAATTTTCAGCTGTAACACGGAAAATGGGGGTTGTAGATTACTGTAAGTAATCCTTTGATTCTTGTAAGGGTTTTCTGTTACTTTGTAAATATCCAGAGAATAGTAAAATAGAAAAAGGAAATCCTGAGAAATAGACTACTAGTATATTTCTGCATGTGGCTCTTAGAACTCCTTAGTTGTCACATGCAAAGCATTGTGTCTGTATAGTGACTTTTAGGAGGGTTCTTAAAATTTCCTGCCTGAGATTGTTAATATTTATTTTTTTTCTTGAACCAGTAAAGTAGTTGTTTGTTACATGCTTCTTTCAATGTCTTCACAGTGGTTGTCATTATGAGCACAGAGGCTTTCTTCTGCTGGGCTGAAAAGGATACATTATTCTGATTTTCTTTTTTGGTGTTCATTCACTTTCTGTCAGCACCAGTGGTGGCATTTCAACAGAAGCCTCACTGAGTTTTGAAAAAATACTAGCACTGTCACAGAATGTGTCCCATAATTACTTTGCCTGACACATAAACATAAAAAGGCAGCATTTTTACAGTGTATGTTCCATTGATGGCTTAAGGTGCTTAAGCAGTCCTAGTTTTGCAATAAGGTAATTAACATTTGCAATCCTACTTATTTTTTTTTTGTTCTCCAGCTAAATTAGAAAATTCTTGTGTAAGAGCATGTGAAATAATAGTGAAATGTAAATCTGCTGTGTTTCCCTTGTCTAGACAGTTAATTGTCCTGTTAACTGACACAGATAATGGGTATTAACTAGGAATTTCTACTGGTACAGCTCCACTGAATTCAATCCTAATGCTAAATTACAGCTCTGTAACTGTTCTATGAAACATGTTGATATCATCCTGGAGAGTGGGATTTGTTGCTCAAATTGCAGCCTCACTGGGTTCATTATTCAACTGATAGCATGACCATGTACCCATTGAAGAAATTTACCTAGTATAAAGGGAGTGCCTTTCTTATGTCTTGATAAATAGAAACAACTTCAGAATTTGGAGGATGCTTGTGATGACATCATGATGCTTGATGATGGTGATTCACTTCTCATACCCTACCAAATTGGAGATGTCTTCATTAGTCATTCCCAAGACGAGACACAAGAGATGCTGGAGGAGGCAAAGGTTGGTCAGGGAGAAGGGAGCTCCTTTACTCTACTGGCAGCTACAGTGTGATGAGCAATCGAATAGGATGGTCGGTTCATCCTCTGAACCTTTTACTTCCTACAGTTCACGTTTGGTTTTTGATTTGAGGAGGGGGGTGTTCACACCTGGTAAGTCATACCTGAGATGTCACTGTACAAAGTTATCCTAGTCTGGCCCCATAGCTCCTCTTATGGCCTGACTTGGCCAGAATTTGGCTAAGGGGGACCTCTATTTTTTATAAGTTGCTGACAAACATGACTCAATTTGTTTTACATAACTGATGGATATTTTTTTCTTTTTCAGAAAAGTTTACAAGAAGAAATTGAAGCACTAGAATCCCAAGTGGAATCAATTCAGAGGGTGTTATCTGACTTGAAAGTTCAGCTCTATGCAAAGTTTGGAAATAACATAAACCTTGAGGCTGAGGACAGTTAGAGGTGTTCTAAACATATCATACAACTTTTCCTTGGTTTATTGACTATTTTGATAACATTGTTCCAATTACATTTAAAAAAAAAAATCCAACGCTTTTTCTTTTACTTTCCTGTTTTGGGTTCCCACCTATTTAATGAGAGCTTTCTTATTTGGGGTATTGTAGTTATTTATTTGTTCAGGAAAGCATTAGCTTCATACTGTTGGTAAAGCATCAATTTGGAATATTTGCATTGTTTATTAAAGTAATAAAATCAGGCACATCTTGTAACCAAGTTTCCTTGGTCTTGTTTTCCACTCATAAAAATACTTAAGTATAAAAACAATAGAAATGAGGAAAATTTGACTTGGAATGTGATGGCTGTTTGATAAAAGTTTCTCTGTAATATCAAGGGCATGCCTCAGCTTTAATGCTACTTAGCTGGTTTTAGGAGCCCTCCTAGAAATACTAAATCTGTCCTTTGTCTTTTAATCTTACTCTGACAGCATAAGCACTGTTAGCTCAGAGCACAACATGGTGACAGGTTGAGAGGGGAGAAAGGAGAGCTCTTTAATGCTCATGTGGGTATTGAAGAAAAGCTTTTGGAGACACAGTCATATTCAGTTGTTTGCTACTTTGTATGTGGGAATCACAAAAGATGCTGTAAGTCAGAGTGGTGAGTCTTAGTTTCCAATTTTCCCAAAGAATTGTTTTCTAAATCCATAATTAGATACTAAATGAATGTCAGGATTGTTCATGGATGATGTTGCTGTGTTAGCATCAATCCCTGGAACTATGCCTCTATCACTACATGGAGTTGAGTGTAATTTTTAAATGTCTTAATTTGCTGTCTCCTTACATCCTTAGAAAAATGATGTACACTCTCACTGTAAATCTGCTTTTTGACTTCTGCCAGCTTTGATGAATATATTTTTCCATGGCAATACCTGCTTATTATGACTTTGTTTTTTAAAATGGAATCTTAGCATACATAAATCCATCTTTTTAAGCTATTTTCCTGAACAGAGAATTCAGTTGGCCAAATATTAATCTAAAGTAATTGTTCTTAATATAAACAATCAGTATGAGAGGAGTGTATTTTTATAAAGTGATTAATACCTACCTATCCTGTGTCAGTTGTGTAGCACCTTTTCTTCAAACAGTGTGAATGTAGAGGGGGGAAAAAAACCCATCTGGTTTCTCTCTGCTATCTGAAGTAGTTTTAATAAGGTAGTGATACTGAACTTCATCTTCAGTACACCTGAGCAGGATTTCACCAGTGCATTTTTACTCATAAATTACAACATTGTAACTTTTGGAGTTGTTTATGTAAGTTTATTAACACTGTAGATAAGGTTTAGCATGGCCACAAGACTGTCTTAGACAGTGAAGATCTAATATCTCACCACAAGCATTGTATGTATATAACTGTACAGATTTTTTTAATTGTGTTTTTCCAAGTGGTTGTGGTTCTAATTCAAGCTTATGGCTCAGGAAAGAGTTCAAGCTTTTCCTTACTTCCTGAGTGAATGCTTCAGCTACTTTAGGTAAAATGTGGATATGGTATCCATGGCAACTCTCCTGATTTATCTGCCAGCCAGTGCTTGTAGCAAATCAAGTGTGTTGGGCCTTCAGGAAGATAGAGGTGTTTCTTTATGTGATTTTTTTGAACCCTCCATAGAATTTTCTGTGTTAGGCAGATGTTTCTGTGTGAGGCAACTACTTAAAGCAGTTCTGGCTTGACCCAGAATTGTTCTTTTAGGCACTAAGAGGAGAAGAAGGTGGCCAGTTACTTGATAGCGGCTGATATAAATATTATGGACTTACCTGACTCAGCTCTGCCTTATCCTGTTTTATTAGATACAGCTCTTAGTCCCAAATTGTCTGAGAGCAAGGTTAGGAGGTGCTGGTGTCTTGGGTTTTTTCTAAATAGCCACACCATTTGTTTGGGTATGTTAAAGTAAAGCATCCAATGCACTTGGCTTTGTAATTATAAAGCAAAGAAAAAGAGACTTCTTTTTCCAGGTGAAAACGGAGCTAGTGATGGTCTGACCTGTAGTGAGAAGCATCCAGCAGATGGCATCAAAGAACTGGGAAACCCATTTCACAGCAAGCCCATGCCCAAGCTGTGAGTGCCAGTGCTGATTTTAGGAAGGTGAAGCTTTGACTGCAGTGATCACATTCTCATTAATTGGTTGGTAACACTTTAAAATTCACTCCTAAGTGACTGCTGTGCCCGCTCTGCTGTTCTGACCACATTCACAGCAGTGCAGGCTGCAGGTATTTGAAATGATTGTGGATTCCAGATAGGTGGTAATGTGGCTATGACTGCAGTCTGGAGAAGGTGGCAGTTGGTAAGCTTTACCTGTGAGTCCAGCAGCACCTCTAGAGTCAATGGGGACCTGAGTTCAGTGAAGGACCCAGTGGGAGAACGCTGGCAAGGTGTGGAGAGCTTGCATCTTCTCTGCTGTTCTGTGGTATCCTAGAAGTGGAATTCTCCATACTACAGGGAGAAGGCTATTTGGAGTGTTCTTGTGAATATCAAAGGTCTTTCCTCTCTGGTGTTGGACTTCAGTCCTTGGGGGTTTGTTTTGTGAACCCACACCCTTATTTTCTTTCTTTTTTTTCTGTTTATGATGTTGATATATTTTAGGCCATTTCACTAGGCCTTCTTGCACTGCTAGAGTTTAGGGGTTTTATGTGCATGATGTATCTTCCTTGTTTGCTTGGTCCTTACTGCAAACTGTGTGTCCATGCAGCCTCAAATATAGGTGCCTTTTTGCACATGTAATGTCCAGTTTCCTCTTATGGTTTGGGTAATGGTTTGTGAGTCAGGCAAGTAATTAGCTAACAAACTTTCCCAGATTAGTCTCTGGATTTTTGCAGTTTACAGAGCTACTGTCCCAGGTATTTGATATCAAATATAATTTGATATTTTTATATGCATAAAATAGAACATAGAGGAAACTCATTCATAAGTGTCACCGTAGAAGTTGATTTGTGGATCATCTGTCAGTTGCTTAAAAGTCTAGAAGATGGAGTCCTAGCTTTTTTCCTTTGAATAAACTTCCTCCTCCCTAGTGAATATATGCAATTGTTTTTCAGTTGCCATTTGTTCTCTTTAGCTGCCTGCATTGCCTAAGTATTTTTTGTTTTGGTAGACTGGAAATTTCTGTTATTTCTAGCAATGTTTGCCTTACAGTTACCTTGTTCAAATAGTTTAAATCCGTGGGAAAAAAAAACCAACCCTGATCTCTGTACATGGCATGAATCATTTAGCTGCACTTGACAATATAAATTTTTAATATTGTTGTCAGGATGCAAGCAGTTTACTTTAGTTCTCTGTATTGTCAAGAGAGGGACTTTGGTAAAGCACTTGGAAGATGAAATGTACCATAAAAGTGTTAGATTAAAATAATACTTACGGGCTTCATTTAGAGCTTTGGGCCAATGATCTTTAGTGATTGAACTGGTTATTTGGCTCCATTTGTGTAGTAAAATACAGTTGCCATTCTGCTTTTGTTCTGCAAGTCAGAGAGCCCCCAGTGACTGGTTTCTCACTTGGCTGCAGCAGTTAAAGCAGGTGAACTGGCAAAACTGCAGGCAGAGAAATACAGCTCATTTCAGTGCCCAGTGTCAGGGAGCCTGAACCATGCCAGTTTTCAAAGTAGCCTGCAAAAAAACTCTATAAAACGTTATAGGACACCATTATTATACTTACTGTATTTTCAGGGGCTTATTTGTGATTCTGTATCTTGTGTGCTGATATAAAAATGTTTTCCACATGATGTTCTCTAGCATAATCTTCTCCAGTGGAACCTTCATGGTTGCTCGCTGCTTTTGTTTAGAAGATCCTCAGATACCATTACACTCCATCATGCAAATATGGCTGATAATTATTCAATAATTACAGGAAGTGGTGTGTAACCAAAGTACAAATAATTTTGTGGTGTGAAAATCGCTACAAAGAGATTGGATGCTGAATACTAAAGCTATATTTTCTGTAGGAGCAACAGAATGTAGTGGTTTGGTTTGCATGAGTCAGTGGTTCAGATAATTTATCCAATGTTATTCTAATAGTCTGATTCATGAAAAAGCAAAAAAGGTGGATGTATTTAGGCATGATAAGGCTTGACACATTATTAACAAGCAAGTATGCCCTTTTATTGATTGTATGAGTCATACAGAAAACCAAATTATTTTGTAATTAAATGTTAGCCGCTGATGAAACTGCACAGAACACAGTGCACCAAACAAGCATAAATGGCTGGGAAGGATTTCCCTCCAGAGATGAAACAGGTTTCTTTTAAGGGGGACTCCATCTATCTGTCAAAGAGACATAATAAAACCATCAGCCATTTATTGCAGATTTACAAAATTCTTTTGCTTGCTGTTGCTCTCCAAAGCTGCTTAGTACACTGCGACTTTGATCTCAGTTTATAAACTGAGGTATCATTAGGTGGCCCTCTGTACTCATGGCAGAAACCCCCCCCACCTGTGGACACCGAGTGGTGGGGTGCAGGGTTCTGGTGCAAGTTCACCAAAGGATTGCTTCAGGAAGACCACTGTGGTCTGGCATTGTTACCACTTGTACTGGGGAGGGGAGAGGCAGAATGTACTTGATGTGGAAATACAGGCTTGGCCAGTACTATACCTGGCCATTTCCTTAAGCTATTAGGAAAATGTCAACACAGCCCAGCACAAGTGAGGAAAAACTTTGGTCAGTGAGAGGCTGTCAAGCTTTACCCCATCAAGAATGATACAGAAGTTGTTGTTAGATTTAGATTATTTTTTTGCCGTGTTAACTGTAGCTAACAGGATTGTTTGTACTAGACTTGCAGTGCTCTGGTACAAAGTTACAACTTTTTTAAAGAAACTATATTTACAGTTGAAATTTGTACTGTTTGTTAAGTACTTGGATAGAAGTATGAATTAAACCAGACTTGCTGGTGAGCATTAGTCATTGAACAACACCTCATAGCACAGCAGTATAAAACCTTGACTGCCTTTGGGTACACAATAGCAGTAAATCAGCTCAGATAAAAATTATTAATCTTGGCGCCCATTCCTAAGGATTGATGGCAACTCTACACCCAAGACTGCTTTTTGTTATTTTCCCCCAAAGTGTTAATAAAACTTCCAGTTTCATTTCTGTTGTGAAAGCTCTTTTTTTCCCTAGTTGCTTAATATTGCTGTTAAAAGTTCTTCCATAAAAACTTTGGTTTGCTTTTGAAAATATCTCCCAGCAGCGGTGTTAGATGTGTCTGTGCTCTCAAACAGCCTCTGAGGAGTTGT